AAGCAATAAAAATCCAAAAATATTCAAAACTAACAATATTTAGAGGGCAATTTAACAATGTATAACAAAAGACAAAGCAAAAGGTAGGAGTAAGAGATGTGCCAAAAATTCCACTGTAAGAAATTTATTGAAAAAATATTAAATCTATAAAAACGTAACTACAAATCTAGTGTACTACATTTTGCCAAAACACTGTTCAATTGCCAAATTAAAAACAAGTTATTTCCATAAATGGGATATTGCTGTCATTGATTTCATGGTTAGAAATATATTAATATAGAAAGAATTATTTTAGAAAAAAGTGGCTATGAACTATTGTTATAATAATTATGGTTGATTTTCTAATTATTTTTGCTCATCTGAGTTTTTTTCAAAATATATGTTTTGAAAGCATAATTTTAAAAAATAGTCTTAACACATGATACAAGGCAAATGTTAAAAGGCATTATGGAATGTTCATGAATATATGGTAACAGGTGTAGAAAGAATAAAAGGAGAATACAAAGACCTAAAATAATGTTAGGTTAAAAGTTATCCTATATGTTTGGTTCAAGAATAAAACTGGAGTCAGATTAGAAATCAGTCACTGAGGGCTCGAGTATCTTAAAATAACCTTTCATAATTGATATGGCATCAATTTTTTTGAAAATTTCCTAACAGAACAACTTTATGTGGCCTCTTAATTACTACCCACCAGGTCTCACCATTTGTGACCTATTCTTTCTTCCTAGGATCCCCTAAGAGTCAAAGTTCAGGGTTTGTGTCCCTAAGATAGACCTGGTCCTTCCATCTAGCCAATGCAACATGCCTTACCTGTGGTAGAAAAAGCGGTCTTCTAATGAGCGTTAGAAAATAGAAAAAAAGAAATCAACAAGAAAACTGCCTGACAAAATCAAAATGGCCGCTAATTTCAGAGAAGAGGTATGATGAAAAAAAAAGTCCATTTCAGTACAAAGAAATTAAGTACTGTATGAGTCTTTGTTGTTAACATAGAAAAAAAAGTTACAGCAAAATGTAGACAACATTCTTAATTTAGCATTTCCCCCCTTTTTCCTCTTCTTCACAATATTATAGCTGTGTTTTTCACTGCTTTTGAACTATGTGTACATGCACACTTGTGGACATATGTGTCCTCATCTCCTTATCTTTCCTAGTCTCCTCCACTAACTACTACCCACACTACTGTTACTATTACTACTGCTGCTACAAGTCTACAATTCTAAGACTCTAAAAATCTAAAAATCTCTGAAAACCAACAAATTGTCATAAACTATATAAGGGTAAAACTTAACACCTGATTTTGGGTGGCCAGACCTGATCTATACCAACCAACACAAGGCCTATATAGTGGCCTCTACCCACAACTTAATGAGAATATGCATATGCTACAAATATTAGCAAGTGTAATTACTGGTTTGATTATGAATCCACTTATCTTCTTACCTTTCTAAAATTTAAAATTTTCAGGATTCTTACCTATGTGTAGGCCCAAGAGTTTCAAATAAATGATTATGGATCTACACAACTAATTTAAGCTGTAACTATTACCACTGCTGTGTGCACTATAAAACTTTGCCTTTGTGTAGCTCTGTATTTGTTATTCCAGATCATTCTAACAGCTCATCAGCCTAAAGATATATAACTAAAGATCCATCTATTGTTTAATTAATAGATTAATGTTATGTTAAATGTTATACAATGACTTGTATAACATTTTATCTGATTATTTAAATAGTTACTGCAAATTTAAACCAACACAATATTAACACCCACAGTATCCAAAGCCTGTGGTCATAACTGTGGCTACCAGCACTTTCTAAGTCTTCTTATTATTACTATTGAAATTTTCATTCATGTTCAACATCCATGTCTGGTGCATTTTGTTTGACAAAAACAAGCTAATTAGTGCTAAACCTTCCCTAGTTCATAAATTTATTCCTAAGAACATTAAAAGGAACTCAAGTGAGACATGTTCAGTAACAGATGTTTGCCTTATTTGGGTGCCTTTTTACAGTTTGTTCTCTTTCATTACTTTTTAAGAAATTTAGTTAATGTTCCCTTTACTAGAGAACAAGCATACCTAGCTTCCCAGGAGGTGATGCTGGGTGGGAGGAGGGATTCCCCAGGGCAGGCACAGTCTGTTCATTTTCTTAATCTGTTATCTGCTCAAATGCTCTCTACATTCAACTTTTCATTCTTCCATCCAGGTATTCACTTGCGTGTTTTCACAATCACATATCAGTTTATCTCACCAAAGAATGCATATGTTGATGCAACCATAGAACTAAAACTATTGTTAACAGTATTACTAATGTGTATGGGCCTAGTGCTCCTTAAATATCCTTTCCACATGAGGATATCTCAAAGCAAAAGGTCAATTATGATTGAGAACTGGGTTGAATATTTTGGCTTCTACAGTAAAGAAAGATTGCGAAGTGGCTTCCAAAAGCAAAAAGTCAATGGCCTTTTACAAGAAAAGAAACTGAAAACATATATTAAGAATGTAATATTAAATTGATTCAAAAATACACATTTAAAATTGTACTACTTATGTATCTAAACCTCCACATTTGAAAATCATTTATGTGATGTGATTTAGGAGGTGGCAGGTTGATATATCTAAATGATGTATCTAAATAAATTCAGATCTTGCATTTGCCAAGAGTGTTTTCTTTTAAAACTGTGTGAGAATAGTTGAATATACTTCTTGATCTCTTTACTGCTAAATAAAATTTTGCATGTAGTACATTCTTTCTTTTTCCCAATAAGTATCTTCTAATCTAGGACAATAGTAGGGGTTTATCTAAAAATAAACATTCAGTAAAATAAAATAAATGATGGTTATAAAAATAAACTTTAGGCCTAGATAATACTGCTGCAAGAAAACATTACTATTAAAATATGGGCTTCATTCTGGTGCTACACTGGTCTTGGGGGCAGTGAACTTGGGGTGTACATGACCCAGTATGATACCAGCTATGGTAGCCAAGGAATGCAATACCTATATAACCCCTCCCCCAACTCCAGGCATTGAAGCTCAGAGAGAGACTTCTCCTTGGGGGAAGGCAAGGGAAGAGTACAGAGCATTTGTGTTGCAACTTGAATACCAGCTAAGCCACAGTGAAATAAAGTACCAGAAAAATTTCTTGAAACCCCCGACTCCAGGCCTTTGTTCCTGGATGGTGTTTCTAAACCCACTCTTAGCTAAAAGGGAATAAATAGCTTTGATAGGACAGACTCAGTCTTGGCAAGATTCACTACCTTCTGACTAAAATGGCATTGAGCCTTGAATTGCAAAAGAGGAAGCAAGGCAGTATTCACTGTGGACACTGGGTGAAAGCCAGTTCTGTGCCAGCCTGCAAGGCTTCAAGTGGGAACCTGCATAGTGCCACTTGCAGAGCACCATGTGAGTACCAGCATCATCCCTCCTTCAGCTCCAGGCAGCCCTTTACAGAGAGAGACTCCTTCTATTTAGAGGAAACAGAGGGAAGAGAGTGAGAGATTTTGCCTGGTAACCCAACAGTTGCAATGTTCCTGGTTTTAGGTGCACCATAGTGCTAAAACAGCTGCAGTGACCACAGACTTAGGTCAAAACACTCAGTTCCTTTTAAACTACTGGAAGCCCCTCTCAAGAATTATGAATACAAACAAGCCCAAACCACAAAGATTGAAATAAATACCTGATGTCTAGTTTTTCAATGCTCAGACATCAGTGAACAAGAATATCCAGGAAAACATGACCTCACCAAACTGACAAAATAAGGCACCAATAATCAATCCTGGAGTGATGAAGATATGTGACCTTTTAGACAGAAATTCAAAATAGCTGTCTTGAGGATGCTTAATGAACTTCAAGATAACACATAGAAAAAATTTAGAATTCTATCAGATAAATTTAACAAAGAGATTAAAATACTTTTTTAAATCAAGCAGAAATATTAGAGCTGAAAAATTCAATTGACAAACTGAAGAATGCATCAGAGTCTTTCAACTACAGAATTGCTCAAACAGAACAAATAATTAACGAACTCAAAGACAAGCTGTTTCAAAGTACATAGAAGAGAAAAAAAAAATAGAATGAATCACACATACAACATCTAGTAAATAGCCTCAAAGGGGCAAATCTAAGAGTTATTGGCCTTAAAGAAGACATGTAGACAGAGATGGATCAGTGTAGAATGTTTACTTAAAGAAATAATAACTGAGGACTTTCCAAATCTAGAGAAAGATATTAATATCCAGGTACAAGAAGGTCAAAGAATACCAAGCAGATTCAACCCAAATAAGACTACCTCAAGGCATATAATAATCAGTCTTACAGGTCAAGAATAAAGAAATGATCCTAAAATCAGTAAAAGAAAAAAAAGTAAATCACATAAAAAAGCTCTGAGAAATCTGACAACAGGTTTCTGGGGCCAGGAGGGAGTTCAAAGTGCTGAAAGAAAAACACAACTTCATTAAAAACCTTATCTTCAAGTACAGTAACATTGGGGGTTAGGACTTTGACAATGGATTTAGGGGAAGCACAATTCAGTCCATAACATTTCAATAGGATTTGAGAGCTAAATCTCAAATATCAAGAAATATCAAAACATTTTTGGCATTATTTTTCTACCCATATTTTCCCCTTCACTGGATTTTATTTCCCTTTTTCATATGTACTGTATTTGTTAAAAGCCATCTTAAATCTCTTTTGTAAGACAGAGAATAAATAAATAAATAAATAAATAAAATTCTCATCTATAATAGAGTTGTAAGCATATTTGCTCATTGAAATAACTAGTAGGACCTGTATTCCTGGGTGCTAAAAGATTCTGAAGGAGGTTCAACAGTCATACTCCTCTGTGTATACTAACAAATGTATATAAATGGGCAGATTTATAATATATCTTATAATGATTCTTCCTTTGATAATGTAACAGAACATCAATGGAATTAAAATTTTATAGGTGATGACATTGTTTTTCTACTTATGTCAACTCTTCTTTTCCGTATTATAGAAAACCTTTATTAAAAAGGGACAACAATCTATCAAGCCAGAACCACAATCACAACCCAGGTATATATTTTATATAATGGAAAAGTATAAATTAATGCAGTCATTTTTGATGTTATCATTGTAATTGCTGACTTTTATATCTAGGTTTAAAGAAGTATAAGTTGTTTTAAGCTCAGTTTTTTAATATCTGTTTTTCAATGTTGCCTTTTAATTTGACTGAGGAAAGGAGAAGAATACTTTTTTTTTAATGTCTTAGTTATCAGTAGATCCAGCTGAAGTTTTACTTTGTAGTATCTAGGAGAAAGCAGTGTTAACAACACTGTATATGTTTTAGCTATTTTTTTGTTTATTAGAAACTACATACCACAATTCACTATGGTTAATCATGCATTTCAGAAGGTCTATTAAGAACATGTAGATTGCTTTGCTACTTTATATACCAAATTTGTTGATAAACTGTTTTGAAAAACATTGATTTTCTGAGATGGATTAGAGCGTGAGATTGAATAAAGCAATCGTGGAAAGTTAACAATGAAGTTTCTAAAAAGGGCAGGTTTCATACTTGTGTTTTCTTATTCATGGGGAATACATTCATTTGTTAATGATAAATGATTATAAACTAAAAAAAAAAACACAAATATTTGAAGGCACTAGAGAGTGATGGCATGTAGACAGAAACTGGAGGAAAATTATTTGACTCTTGAAAGGAACTGCAGTGGGTAAGATCCCCATTTATCTAGCTTTTCCCACATCATGCAGTGTGAGATAGTGAGACCTTAGGCAGAAAACCTAGGTGTTAATGGTGTGAAATGTCAGAAGACAGAGTTTAGTGCTTCCAAAATGACTAAAAGTTGATTAAGAAATTTTATAAAAGGAGAAAACCACACAGAGAGAAGAGTCCCAATTCTGTGTACAAACTCTTCTAAAATTACGGGCTGACCCCTGAACTGTGTATGTGTAGAAAAGACTTCAAGAAAGTGCATCTGAAAGTAACAGCTTGTATAGTTTTCAATTGCTTCACTTGTTTACATAGAAAGAAAAGGATTTATTGGCCTTAAAGAAGATGTGTAGACAGATACAGATCAGGGTAGAAAGTTAAAAAAATGAATAAATAAGTAAATGAAGAAAGAAAGAAAAAAATTTTTTTTCTTTCTATGGATGTTGGAATTAGCATATAAGGCCTTTAAAGCAGTTATTTTAAATGTTCAAAACTTAAAAAGGTGTTCATTATAACACAGAAGATTCCCAGTACAGAAATAAAAGCTGTAAGAAAGAATCAAATGAAAGTTATACATACAGCAGATTTGAACAAACCATTAATTCATTTGACATAAATGACCGTTATAAAAGACTACATCCAATAATGTAGAATATACATTATTTTTAAGGGTACATGTAACAGGTATTAAAAAGATAAGAACAGTAGGCAATAAAATAGAAATTAGGGATACAATAAACCAAATTCACAAAGCACATAAATCTTTGGAAAGATTAATAAAATTTATGTGTTCTTAGTGAGACCAGTTTAAAAAAAAAGGAGATAAAACACAAATTACCAATATCAAGAATGAAAGATAAATCATTATATATCCTACAGAGATTACAATGATAAAATAATATGTGAATAGCTTCATGCCAATTACATTTAACTAAGAGGACGTAGTCTAATTTTTTGAATAAAGATAGCATACCAAAACTGACACAAGAAGTAGAAAATCCGAATGACCATGTCTACTAAAGACATTGAGTTTGTTCTCAAAAACCTCACAGAAAGACTTCTTTAAAGCAAATAAATTATAACTGTTCCATGTAAATTGTTTTGAAAATATTTGATGGCATTTAAAGCAGTTTGAGTTCTTACGTAAGTCCTTTTCCCGCAAATATTCTTTACCTGGTTAATTTGATTGGAAAATATTTTTTCCTTATAGATTTGATTGGAAAATATTTTTTCCTTTAACTTTAATAAGTTAAAATTACTCCAGCCATTTCAATGAAAAAGAATTGGGCAGCCTTCAATATGAGTGCTTATTATAGTTATTTGGCTTGAGCCAGCCAGATAATCTGAACTCTAAACATTTTTCTGTACAGTTTACCCTCTGTAAGTTTTTCAGGGATGTGTTAAATATTTTAAAGATTGTTGGCTGACAGAATTTTGGACATCACTTGATTAACTCCTTCTGTTTTCCAATTAGGAAAACTAGGATAAAAAGATTTAGTGACTTCTTTAAGGTCCTGAAAGTAAAAAACAGAACTGTGACTAGAATCTGTCACCTCACAGCATAGTGATATTTTTAGTCAGTATGCTCCTTTTATACCATTTGTATCTTAAATTTTAATAGCCTTTCTGATGATTACTTAAGAGAGGTAAATTGAAAATATACTTCATAAAAAAGAAACTATACTTAATAAATTATTAAACTTGAGTGGCTCTAGTGATTTAAAAAGTATTACTAGAATAGAATCATGGAGAGAGAGAAATAGAGTGAAATTGAATGTAAAAACAAAGCAAAGTAGTGAAGAATATAAAACTGTGTATATGAGATTTTATATGTCTGTATAAAATACACAAATACACTTAATTGAAAATGTTTAAGTAAATGAATATTAAAATTCTCTTCTTTATTTGAAATTGTACCATTTCTATCATAAAAATTCCATGAAACTTTGGAATTCACATGTTGGATTTATAGGTTTGCCTAAAGAACTTTTCTTGTTACAGAGGAATTTCCCATATATTTTTCAGCTAGAGGTTTCCTTACAGCCTGCATGAGGCAGGGTATATTATAACCTTCCATCAGTCATAAGTCAACTTCAATAAAGTACTGGACAATTTCTAAAGTACTTTTGTGTTTCAAGGGTAAAAATATATCACACATATATTACTATTGCCAGGCTACAGTAAATATAAGAGAGTCTGTTTTCCTCGATCTCTTCTTAGTTATAGAAAAAAAGATGATGGAATTAATTTACACATACCCACAAGCTTTGCGGGAACTCTTTACAGTTGGCAAATAGGACTGGTTTATGTACCCACTCAGCAGTATTTTTTTAAAGGAGGCAGTCACTTGGCTGTTAAAATGTGGGAGTGGGGAAGTTAAGCAAGCTAAAAATGCTGCAGCAGTGCTTGGTCTGGAATTACTGCTAATGTGAACACCCACTCCTATTCTTGGTTGCCTTATACGGATAAATAGTGGTGGGTAACTCAGAGTCCTAGTTATTTCTCTCCTAATCTTCAATGATCACAAACCTAAAAAGCAAATTTCACATTAATTTGTCATTGTTGTTGTTCATCTTCCTCTTTTCTTTAACTGTAAACATTTCAATATTCAGAAAGGGAAGAAAAGATTGTGCTATTGTGGTTGGGTGTATTTCTTTGTACAAATATATGTACAAGCATATATAACATTTTCCCTTAGCAGCATTATTAAAGAAATAGCTGTAATACTAAAATTTCACACATTTAGAATGAATTTACTGTGTTGAAAAGGTTACATAGCAGATATAGATACTTGATTTAATTTGGGGGTTGTTAAATATATTTGTGTATGTTTTTGAAAAAAAAGATTATCTTTTTGCCATCATTTTATAATTCTGCTGTATAAATATTCATTTCACATACACCTATGTCCAACATTTATAGTAAATTATTTTCATAGATGAAAACTTATAAAACAAAATTGCTTAATATCTAAATTTTTCCACTTCTTCAGTATTTTAATTTAAGTGATACATTTTCAAATTGTTAGAACTCCATAAGTTTCTGAAAATTGTTAGAAATTCATAAGATTAAAATATGGTTGAAAAATTCTAAAGCAATTTTTAAAGGAGAAGTTTATGTTAAACATTTCAAAGAAAGCCAACAAATCTTAGTTCAGTCAGCATTGCCAAAGGAACATTTTTCTGAGTTTTTTAAAATAAAATATCTATTTTTTAATTCAATACCTTTAAATCAGACAGAATTAGATTTAAATAGATGCTGTTCTTAATTTTTAGTTTAAATAAGTATAATGTGTATATGAATGATAATATACACATTTCTTTTTTATTTTTATAAAGGTAAAGATTATTTTGCATTGAAGTGGGAGCTCATCTTTTCCTAACATCATCTTTTTCATCTCCTTCTTTATGCCTAATATATTTTCTATTTTTTACATAGTATCTTTAAAGTATGAAAAGCAGTTTATATTATTAGTAAAGGGAAATAATGCATTGAGAGTTTATTCTCAATATCTATGCAAACACTGTGAACCAGAAGCTATATAGATTGTAATTCATTGTACTATTGTGATGACATTGTTCTTTTATTTTCTTTATTTTATAAAGTATATAAAAATACTTTATATATAATGTTCCTTGAGGTTCACTTGAATTTGTTTAGTACCTCTAAACATATTACAAATGTCTACATTTTCCTTAAGATAACCTATCACATTTCATGAATAAAACACTCTTGATTTTTTTTATTGCAGTGAGCTATTAATCTTGTGTAGATTAATATGACTTCAGTGATAAATTGTTTTTAAAAATGTTTGACTGATTGGCAGGTATAGAATATAACAATTGAAGGGTCTTTAATTCAGAGAAAAATATTCTGTTGTTGACTCATAATGTTAAATTTGTGAGTATAATAAGTTCAGAGGCTGGTCATCACACTTTCATCTTTTTAGTATTTAATTTGCTCCAATTCTTGATATAAATGTTGACATTTACATTTACCATCTATGAAGTAAAGTATACTATTTTGGAACTTTTGAGTTTTCCTTATTTTTAAAAAGTCTTTAGAATTTCATGTATTATTCTAAAGACTTTTTAGAATAATTCTCATGTAAATATGTAGATGAGGAATAGTTGCATTCTTCCTTCTTCCTATTTCACAGCATACTGGAACTAAAAGGGTAATAAGTTTTGATACTAGTATCTTTCTGAAAGGCAAATTGAATTACCAATTCTAAATATTTTCTTTTTTGATATAGTCGTATACAGTATATCAGTTGTCATATCTAAGTAGAAAATTCACATTTCAGAGTCCAGATATTTATGTAGGTTCTTGAATATTTCCTTTTTATCTTGAAAATTACTGTATTCTCTTTGTTTATCATCATTTTTTTTTTCCTGAAAGAGATTAAGTCTTCTTATTTTATCACAAAATAATCTTTACAATTTCCCACCTAAAAACTTTTCTTTGGTCTCTTCTAAAATTTTCTTACCTATGAATGGAAAGTTATCCTGCTTATCATTAGACATTTTTTGTCAATGGTTTCTTCTGGGTCAGTGCCTATCCTAAGCATTATTTGAAAATAAATATACGGTGAATAACATTTATCAGGTGACACCTCCACTTGTGTGTTCTGTCTTTGGAGAATGATGGACTTGGAGAGTTTGAGGAAACTTAAACGTTTTCTATTGAAAACCCACTTTTCCAAAGTACAAATCTCCTCTATAACACTGTACACATATAGACTCTACTTGCAAACTCTAGGGATTCATAATACCTCCATCCCAGTGGCATCCCATTTAATTCAAAGAATTGCTCTGATTTTCAGGCAATTGTCTAATTTAAACTTAATACCTATCTCTCTTGAACTGGTATCCACTGCTCTTCTAGCAGTCACTCCTCCTTACCAACTTTTTCTTTTCTGATTAAACCCCTCAGCCTATTTCAACTGAGTATATATATATATATATATATATATGTATATATATATTTACATAATATACATATTATATACACATCTATATGTGTATATATATATAATATATATAGATTATATATATACATAGATGTGTATATATATATAAATGGTCTATAACATCTTCATTGGATGGTAGTTCAAACTATCTTGAACAAAAATGGGATTTGACTGACCCATCTAAATAGGAATTGCAAAGGTACAGAATGTGGTGGCTGTCTATTCTTTGTATTGGTTTAGCATCTTAGGCTCACATGACTCAAGGATTCAAGTAATGTCTTCAGGATGCATTGTCTTTTCTTTCATTTTTTTGATCTCTGCTTGGCTTTAATATCTCCTTCTATAGAATTTTTCTCCATGTGGCAAGGAAAATGGTTAGCTCCCAGGTATCTAATTCACTTCTTGTTCTTATCAAAATGGTGGTGTTATGTTACCACAAAAAAGTAAAAACAAAAAACAACTCCTCATCAAATCTCACCCCTCCTCTACCCCTCACATAAATACACACACAAATATTCTGGCTGACTCCCCACCTTGGAAGACATGACCAGCACAAGAAAAATCATGGGGAGTCACATGGCTGGAGTGGGGAAGTACAATTCTCCAAAGGAGTAGGAGGTGCTAGACAGAGGAAAGAAACAGATGCTCTCTGTACTAAAGAAAATCCCCATTGAAATATGATGCTTAGGAAAGCACACAGTATTTCAAATGAAATTTTAGTAGCATAATGTAAATTGGAACCCAACCCTTGACCCTGTAGATAAAAACCCATCATGTCTCCAAAATCTGGAGACAACAGATGCTGGAGAGGATGTGGAGAAAAAGGAACACTTTTACACTGTTGGTGGGAGTGTAAATTAGTTCAACCATTGTGGAAGACAATGTGGTGATTCCTCAAGGCCTTAGAAATAGAAATTCCATTTGACCCAGCAATCCCATTACTGGGTATATATCCAAAAGACTATAAATCGTTCTACTATAAGGACACATGTACACGAATGTTCATTGCAGCACTGTTTACAATAGCAAAGACCTGGAATCAACCAAAATGCCCATTGATAATAGACTGGATTGGAAAAATGTGGCACATATACACCATGGAATATTATGCAGCAATCAGAAATGATGAGTTTGTGTCGTTTATAGGGACGTGGATGAATCTGGAGAACGTCATCCTCAGCAAACTGACACAAGAACAGAAAATGAAACACCGCATATTCTCACTCATAGGTGGGTGATGAAAAATGAGAACACATGGACACAGAAAGGGGAGTACTAAACACTGGGGTCTATTGGGGGGAAAAGGGGAGGGCCAGTGGGAGGGGGAGGTGGGGAGGGATAGCCTGGGGAGAAATGCCAAATGTGGGTGAAGGGGAGAAGGAAAGAAAAGCACACTGCCATGTGTGTTCCTACGCAACTGTCTTACATGCTCTGCTTATGTACCCCAAAACCTAAAATCCAATAAAAAATTAAAAAAAAAAACCCATCATGTCAGCTTTGGGGGACAACTTCCCAAGGACATAACATATTGATTTGAATTCTGTAAAAAAGACAAATAAACCCCGAGAACTTTTCAGATATTCTAATGTGTTATCAATATATTCTTCTTTTCTCTTTCCTTCCTTTTCTTTTTCTACCACTTTCTTTCTCTCTTCATCGATTATACAAAGAAAGGTAGTAACTTTCAGGGATTCTGGGTATAGAAAGAAGATAGACTTGGAGATCATTATAAAATACTGTAATAACTAAAATGAGGGAAGTAAGACATCTAACATCTGTAAGATCATAGTGAAATTATTGTGTAATCACACACGCACACATGAATCGTAGTACAAGTAATTTTATTACATTTTGACTTAGCTTCTTGTCATATTTTCCTCAGATAATTACTACATGTCATATTTTCAGTAACCCCTCCACCTGCTATGACACACTATTTAGAATTGCATATTCCATCCCTGCCAGGATTCCCCAACCACCAAATGTTACTTTATTTTTTACCATAGAAAATATTATTTTCTAATATACTCTACTATTTACTTGCTTACTCTGATTACTTTTGGTCTGTTCTACTGGAATATAAGTGCAATGAGGACAGGGGAATTTTTTTTTTTTTTTGGTATTTTATTCAACAGGGTATCCTCTGCATTAGAACAGCACCTTACACAAGTAAGAAAATAAATATATAAATACACAGATATTTGTTCAATTATGGAATCACCCATTTAATATCTTTTCTCTGCTTTTTAATGAATTTTCTTTCTCTTCCATCCATGTATAGTTCTCATATCAAGCTAGAAATTAAGAGACTGCTTCCTGAGTATCTTCATGGGAATATCCATAACAACTTTTCAAAATTGAAATAATTATGTGTTAGCTTTCCCATTCTTCTCTACTGTATTCTTTGTCTCGGTTAGTAATGATGCAGTTCCTTCCTCCCATCACCCAAGGACACCCAATCAGCCTATCCCTACCATGTTTACAAAGATTTTATGAGAACCTTAGAAATTGCCTTCCTGAAATTCAGACATATCAAAAATTATTTCCTGGGCTAGCAATATAGTAAGAAAAAAATAGTTTTAAAAATTAAAATTAAAAATGAATTTAGAATGGCATAACTTATTCTTTTTGTGTACATTCTAGTTCTTGGCACCACTGCTTCATTCTTTAAGTCCTCACCCAACATCCAATTGATAACTGATAGATTCTGAGATTTAATTTAGTGCCCTAGTGTTTACAATACTTTATTCGTTTCTTTTTTAAAGTAAGGACATTTGCCATTCTCCAGAATTCTCACATCACTTTTATTCTCCGGTTTCTCAAAGATAGCAGATCAGCAGATGTCTAAGGAAAATTATTCACCTGAGCCCAGAAAATTTAATTAAAAGAAGTCTCAGTTTTATTTATGCAATCTTTTGTGACTTGCATTTCAGTTCTTTCCTATCAGTATTTGTTCTTTAATTTTTAGTCAGATAGTTATTCTTTTTGAGAATAGTAGAATAAAAATGGCCTGTAATATTGCATTTCAAATAAACTCTCAGGTGATACTGATCAGCTGGTGCTCAGACTACACTTTGAGTACCAAGCTAGAGAATATACTTAACTGTGTCTAGTATTTACTTTCCTGGCTCTGCCAATTCCTAGGATGACTTAGTTGCTTTCTGCTGTGATTAGCTAGTTAATAGAGCTATAGTTAATCACTTTGATGATATCTCAGTGTCATAATCTTGGGAAAGGAAGTCTTCAAAAGTAGCTACTAGAGACTAAATCTCCTGCAAATGCTGCCACCTCCAAACTCCCTCATATACCTCCAAGTCAAGTGTTAATTAGGTGCACCTTAAGTCTTCTAGGACTGTTTTCTTTAGGATTACTTCTCAGTGGTATGAGGCAAAAATAAAGATAATTAAATTTAAGGCAAGCAATTGTATCTTGTGCAAAGGTTCTGCCCAAGAGAGCTGTATGCTGAAGTAGGAGCAGGGTCAAGCAGTGAACTGCTGGTATCCCAGGCCTCTGAATGTGTCCAGAGTCCAGCACTGGCATTAGTCACGAGGAATCAGAATGTTAGCATCACTGGTTTCCCAATCTAGCCTAATTGGATGGAAAAAAAAAAAAAAACCACTGCTCCTAATAGGGAGAACAAAGAGGACACAAAATAACCGGTTACTGTGTGCTGAGCTCTCTGGTAAACCTGAGTTAGAGCATATTGGTTTCATCTATAGTCTGAATAGGGCCTTCTGCTTTCTCCCCTGGAACGGAAATGGCTTTGTCTCTAGAGAAGTCAAGAGTGTACTTCTCACTTGTAAGCATGGGACACACATAATTCCACTAGTTTCTGCTGAAAGGTGTAGCAGAGAGTAAGGAAACAGACTATAGGAAATCAGTAACTGGGAAAGAGGACAACTGGGCCTAGCTCAAGAGTAAGGTGTAGGTATGAATTCTGCAAGTAATAATAAGAAAATTGTCCAAGGAGGAGAAGCACAATAGAGAGAAAGAACACACATAAGTTCTCGTCTCTAAAGCATACTAATCTTACCTAATAAGAGTGAAATGAGAATGAATGAAGTCTCAGGCAGGGAAAATCAGATTGGCAATTGCTTTTTAATTGAGGGACATATTAAGAGGGTGATAGAAAGGCAAAAACATGGGGAAGGGGGCCAGAGAATCCAATCTCTCTCTAATCCAGATTATTTTCAGACTGTCCACAGTTCTGCTTCTCTAATAGACTTTGCCTATGGTTGCCTGACCAACACACTCTGTGGGTTCTGGCTTGGGTCTCCCCAGTCTTTTGGTAATGGTAGTCCCTGATATATATATGGTTGGGAATAAAACATTGAGTATAATATCAGAAATGATTTTAATTGTGGACATTTCTTTATTTTCGGGAGCCCTAAAAGTCCCTATTCTATGGATAAGGAATCTTATGTTTCATCCTTTTTGAGCAGAGGTGAGCGAGATGGATGGAAATGGGTAGAGTCAGCTCTTCTTTATGATTGACTAAAGTTTAGGTTGGGAGCAGAAGTATCTCCAAGAGGCATAAATAAATAAGTATATTGGGAGGAAGAGCAGAACAATTCACTGTGTGTTCTGTTTCATAGATAAAACTTGACAACTTTGGTCACTGTGACACTGAAAAATCAGCCCCATTACACCTTTGGCATGAACACCCTAGTTAATTCAGTTGACTTCAATGGTAATATTTTTCAGTATCCTACAGTAAAATATGTAGGTACAATGAAATGGAGTTTCAGACATGTTTAAGTTAGAGAGAGTTCCCTAAAAGTGTATTATATATTAATCTAATTTAAAAAATCAGAATCTAGAAGTCTTCGAGCAATCAGGCAAGAGAAGGATATAAAAGGGTATCCAAATAGAGAGGTCAAACTATCTCTCTTCACAGATGATATGCGTCTCTACCTAGAAAACCCCATAGTCTCTGCTAAAAGGTTCTGTGATCTGATAAACTTCAGCATAGCTTTAGGATACAAAACCAATGAACAAAAATCAATAGTATTTCTTTTCAACAATGTCCAAGCTGACAAACTAATCAGAAACACAATCCCATTCACAATAGCCACCAAAAGAGTGAAATACCTATGAGTGCAGCTAGCCAGGGAGGTGAAAAATCTCTCCAATGAGAATTACAGAACACTGCTGAAAGAAATAAAAGATAACCCAAACAAATGGAAAAACATGTTCATTTATAGGAAGAATTAGTGGTGTTAAAATGGCCATACTGCCCAAAGCAATTTACACATTTAATGCGAGTTCTATCAAACTACCAATATCATTTTTCAGAGAATTAGAAAAAAACTTCTAAAATTCATATGGAACAAAGAAAAGAGCCCAAATAGCCAAAACAATCCTAAGCAAAATGAATAAAGCTAGATGTATCACACTACCTAATTTCAAACTGTGCTGTAAACCTACAGTAACCAAAGCAGCATGACACTGGTACAAAAACAGACACATAGACCAATGGAACAGGTTAGAAAATTCAGAAATAAAACTTCACACCTAAAACCATCTGATAAGCCTACCATAGCAAGCAATGGGGAAAGGATTTCCTATTCAATAAATGGTGTGGGGATACTTGACTAGCCATTTGCAGAAGATTAAAACTGGATCCTTCCTTTCATTATATAAAAAAATCAACTCAAGATGGTTAAAGACTTAAATGTAAAACCTAAAAAAATAAAACATTCTAGAAGAAAACCTAGGAAATACCATTTTGATCATCAGCCCTGGCAAAGATTTCATGACTAAGACTCCAAATGCAATTGCTGCAAAACCAAAAATTGACAAATGAATCCTAATTAAACTAAAGAGCTCTGCACTCAAAAGAAATTATCAACAGAGTAAACAGACAACTGACAGAATGGGAGAAAATGTTTGCAAACTATGCATCTGACAAAGGTCTAATATCCAGAATCTATAAGGAACTTAACAAGCATAAAACAAACAACCCCATTAAAAAGTAAGCAAAGGACATGAATGGACACTTTCCCTAAAACAAGACATACATGTGGCCAATGAGCATATAAAGAATGCTTAACATCACTAATCATTGCAGAAATGCAAACCAAATGCATAATGAGATACCATCTCACATCAGTAAGAATGAGTACTATTAGGAGTCAAAAAATAAAAGACACCAGTGAGGTTGTGGAGAAAAGGGAACACTTCTACACTGCTGGTGGGAATGTAAATTAGTTCAGCCACTGTGGCAAGCA